ATATCCTACCGCTTTAATAATGTATCTTTCATCCGTACTAATTTCCATTTTACCGCAAGAGTTTGCGGTTCTAGAGAGTGTTACGTACAATACGTTACAATGTAAATTTTGGTGGAAAAGATAATTAGAATAATTTGGAATGAGTTAAACACCACTTAATGCTGTGTAAGACAATTTCCAAAATTGGAAAACGGCCTTTCAATTTGAGTATGCTGTATTTGTTAAGAAGTTGATGTGCTTATTTCAGCAGTAATTTGGTGAGAGGCTGTTTTACAACACATTATATAAAACAAGAACTCTAATTCATTTTACATCTTGCTTTATCTGAATGATTTTCTATCTCCGTTTTTGATATATTCTGTAAAATATTAAAGTTTCATTAATTTATAACGAATTGAAAACAAATTAAATTAATAGACACCTATATTCGATTGAGATGTTTCAATTTCTCAAGGTCATTATAATTGATGTGACAAACAAGAACGGTCTCGGAGAAAACTTGAGAAAATCATCGTTTTTTTTAAATGTGTAATTCTTCTCTTTGCGACCAGTGACCACTCACTAAACACAACACAATGGCCTTTTCCGATTTCTGTGGTACAGAATGTATAATGCTGTTATCCATAGATCGTTTATCAATTCCTTTCTCGTTTTAAATCCTTTCATTAAAATGGTGCTCTCTTTTCTTCTTGAAGATAAAAAGACTCTTGCCACGAAAAATAATTGGAAAGGTTTTCCCGCTGGAATTTCAAAACAGAGATGGCTCGCCAAAAGATCTTACCAGCGGCCACGAGTACGAAATATGATAGGTCGATGGGTATTTGATATGTAGTCCCATCGCATAAGAAATAAGTTAGTCTTCCAATTAGAGTTTGTTTCACAATATGGCCTTGATTTTTTTCTTCAAACTATCTTTCTCTTTGTCTCCATAATCTCGTTCTCTTCCACCCACAATCTAGCTGTTTTTTCTCCCTTAGACTTTGTTTTCTACTGTCTTCTAATATCAAGTTCAAAGTTTCAAAGTTCAACGTTTCCTCGATATACATGTATAGACGTTGACTTTGTTTTCGTATTATATCAAAAATTAGGGTATATCATTCAGTAAATTTCCTCGCATCGCCAATTCATTATTGGTACTGGAATGCAGAAACGCACAGCCGCACACAAAATTGTCTCATCTTTTCAGCTGTTGTTCCACCCAAATCGATTTTATTCTGTAACCTAAACCAAGAAATGAAGGAAACACTTTACTTGTTGTGTCGCTATCTTTGGATTTAACGATCCTCTATGCACTTAGCAGTCCTCACATCATCTTCATAGTATGCATGTTTTGAGTATATATTATATACAGAACGTAGTTGATGCTGCTTTTTGTTGTTGTAAATTATATAATTACTTGCGTCATAGACTTTCATTCTTACAAAATGTCTGCAAACGGGCATTTTCTGACTGTCGGTAGAATTGATTACGCGCCTAAAAAACGCGTAAGTTTTTATAATGAATGAAACGTCCATTAAATCACGTCTTTGTTTCTTTCAGTGGTACGAGAAGGGTTGCATGTTGCGTGTTTCTTCCATGAGGAAACGTGACTTACAAACAGGGGAAACAATCGCGAAATCTTTCATTCGTAAATTGTAACATTGACCATGAATTGCACCTTTGTATTATGAAAAAAAATGTAAAGAAGTAACAAATTCAATATGAAACACAGTGATTGTAACGAGCTGAAATGTTTCAACGACTCAATGCATATGAGATGAGATATTCAAGGGTGCCAATATTATACAATCCTTATACAAGGGGCAGCTCCAGAGTACCTAACGAGAGGGGGGCACACTTTCTTAAGTTTTACAAAGTGCTGAGCAAAAACCAAAATATACTTCTTTTGTTTAAGTTAAAAAACAAACAAAGAACAATAATGTATCCAAATCTCTGAATGCACCCCACCCCCCCAAAAAAAAAAGAAGAAGAAGGAGGTAACAAAAAAGTTTCGGGGGATATAATAATTGTGCCCCCTTATCCCCATAACACCACCCCCTGCTTGAATGTAATGCGTATGCTGGGCCTCTACCAACATTGACTAGTCTAGACCAGTCTCGATTATGGCGGCCAAGCCTTGACGACGGAAATTAGAATGTTGAAGAGGTGCTTCGATCGTGGTGTCCATCGTGACGTCATTTAGAGTAACTATATTCAATTTGGATGTGAACATTTCAGTCTTCAATCGAAAACCAATTCACTGCGACGCCATGAATTTACAATGTCCAATAAGGCTGTATGTATTGCCTTATGTCATTGCATAAGTAGAAATATGACAAAGTTTTATCCGTTTGAAAGGTTACAAGAACGGACGGTTAAACATTATGAGTCCTAAATATTACAAGTATTTTATTGAAAATTCTTGATCATCCTGCTATTCAGTATTCTGTTTACTTCTTTGTTTTCTCATTCTAAAGTTTAAACACTGCCGAAATATTTCATAAACGTTGTTTGAACTCTTAAAGATCATAATCATTTCCCCCTTCTTTTAATTTTCTTCTTCTCCTCCTCCTCTTTCCACTTCTTCTACTTCTTCTTCTTTGTCTTCTTCTTTTGCTACTCTTTCTCCTCCTCTTACTTCTAGTGTTTCTTCTTGCTTTTCTCCCTGTTCCTCCTCCTTTTCTTCGTAATCTTTTTCTTTTTCTACTTCTTGCTTTTTTCTTTCTATTTCTCCTTCTCTTTCCCTTTCTTCTTCTTCTTCTTCATCATCTTCTTCTTCTTCTTCTTCTTCTTCTTCGTCTACTTCTTCTCCTTCTTCTTCTTCTTCTTCATCTTCTTCTTCTTCTTCTTCTTCTTCTTCTTCTTCTTCTTCTTCTTCTTCTTCTTCTTCTTCTTCTTCTTCTTCTTCTTCTTCTTCTTCTTCTTCTTCTTCTTCTTCTTCTTCTTCTTCTTCTTCTTCTTCTTCTTCTTCTTCTTCTTCTTCTTCTTCTTCTTCTTCTTCATCTTCATCTTCCTGCACCTCTTGCTCGTCTTCTTAAGCATTATCTTCTTTTTCAGCCTCTTCCTTTTCTTCTCTTCTTTTTTTTTTTTTTTTTTGTCTTTTATCTTTCCGCCTATCATTCTTTTTCTTCATCTTTGTCCTCATCGGGAAATTCCGCGTTATCAAATTGAACACGAAAATTCAGTGTCTCAATGTATGGTTTGCTGCTCCGAAATCGACTATAATGTGTCAATAACTAATTCACTTTTCGTAATTACCATGTTTTATAAGGCCTGACTATAATACTTATTGTCTACGATAACAAAATGAGTATCGTCAGTCCTTTATTTCAATACGATTATATCCATTTTTCATGTCCCTCTGTTGCAGTTTTATGACCAGTCGTTATAACGGTAATGAAAAAACGCCAAAACGTGTAGTTTGCATGTATGGCGTTTACTATGAGTGCTTAAGTGCACAGCTGGGTAAATAGTCGTGTTTTCCCACACAACCATTTAACATTATGAGAAAATGGTAGATCAAGACCTTATGTCTTGGTGCCTGTCGTATCCATCGATTGATATTTGGACAAGAAAGTACAGGAAATATATAATAAAAATGTATGAAATTATATATTGTTCTGTAGTCAAATTTATTAATGGTGGTGCGTTCTAGGGTTCAAGTGATGAACATTTAAATCGCATAAAACAGTGTGTAATTTGTCATTGTATTTCATGTTCGTTGAATAATAATGTTAATAATAATTAAGATAATAATGATAATAATAATAAGAAGAAGAAGAAGAAGACGAAGAAGAAGAAGAAGAACATTTATACAGCGCTAAATACTAATTTTTTCTAATGATAAGCGCTCTATACTATAGTTCTACTACCCCGGCATCATGGAAAATAGCCATGACGAATGTTAAGCAATGTATGACCCTTTGTATTTTATGAGAATTTTGCAGAAAATATATTGGCCAGGAAATCGAATAAAACATAAAGGATATTCGATGAGAGGAAGGCCGCCTTCATCATGGTTAGGCAATATCGATCTTGTTTGAAGGAAAATAACTAAATGCTGAGTACTTCCAATATATAGTTTAAAGTTGTAGGAGAGACTGGAAAAGACTTTTCGCAATCGACCGAGTCTAGAAGACGATGATGTTGATGTGATTCGTGAAGTAATGATTGCTTTGTCTGCGTGGAAAGAGAGAAAGACATTTGAAAAGGGGTAGAGAAATAGAGATTTCGAATATTTTTTTTAAAGAAAGATAGAGAGGGTGTGGGTGAGAGAAAGAGAAGAGAGAGAGAGAGGGGAGAGAGGAGAAAGAGGGAGAGAGAGAGAGAGAGAGAGAGAGAGAGAGATATACAAGGAGACAGAGAGAGTGTCAAGAAAAAGTATTCATATAATTTTATTCTTCAGTAACTTGTCTTTATTTTGGACTTGGCATTCCAAACACGTACCTACTTCGCTTTTTCGGGTTTCCTCCTCTTTCGATTAAAAAAATATTTACTGTACTTTTTTTCCTTCTTCTTCTTGAGCTTTCTCCTTCTCTTCTCCAGAATTAATATTATCATCATTTAAATCACTTTATATCGAGACCAGGACCCCGTCTGATACAGAGCTGCCATTTATTCAAATCGACAGCAACATGAAATCATTTGAAACACTTTACCCATAATAATAAGAAAGGATTTTGTATGAAGCTTGTGATTGTTTTGAGGACTTGCGATACATTTGATAAAATCGCAATACTTTATAAGACGGGAGCCGTAATGATATACATCTACATGAGTGTGGTTGAAGGTAATTAGAAATGAAATGATTACTTGTATTATTGATTTAAACATCTAATCATATATTGTAATCGTTCAAGAAGTCTATACCAGACAAGAGAGGAATTATTTAATGGTTACCAATTTCGGTGTGTTTTAATGAAATGGCTGTTTACATGCAATGAATGAAAAATACTTATTTTATATAATACTGACATTTTTTTTCTTCTCTTTTAATCATTTTCTCTCTTTTACAGTAGACGAGGGGTGCCATTCAATAAATAAGATGTTAATGTCTTTACGAGATGACGATCATATAAGTAAGTATTAAATCAGTCATAAATTATCCACCTCCACCCCTCACAATGAACCCTCCCTTTATCTCTTTACATTTTGCAAGTATATATTTAACAGAGTCAAAATGGTCGACGACATTTATTATAACCAACTATTTGACTTACCCCCATCCCTTTCTTCTTCCTTTCACGTGTATCTGCCCTTTCAATACCCCTCCCTCTCCCATATCCCCCCCTCTCTCTCTCTCTCTCTCTCTTTCTCTTTCCCTCATTTTTATACTTTTCCCCCCATACTCCTTTTTTTAATTTTTTTTTTTTTTTTTTTACTTCATTCTTCTTATGTCTTTTAAATGTATTTTACCTATTTCCTTGTTTTAACCTGTATTATCAAATGGTTCAATGTTCGATTTTCTTATGTGTAATGTTGACTTTTGTCACGACAACAGTTGTGTGTCGATTTATGTTTTGATTCATGCATGGTCCGAGAACATGTTGAAGGAGGTTGAGGATAGTGGGGCGGGCACATCGAAATTCCCCAACCGAATCTCAGCTCTAGTCCGCCCCCTGAACCTAATCCCCTCAATCTATGAAATGTTGTGGAGGGCAATAATTATGTTATCATCTCCATCACGCTTTACCGAACCGAACGGAAACCGTCACGTTATACCTGAAATGCACGAGAATGTGGCCATCATTCGTACAAACATATATATTACATCCTTAGGCTTGAAGAGGTTCATTTGATTGGTAGTAATTACATCGATTGAATTGTCATAGTTTTACAGTAAAAAAAAAGGTTGTTTTACCTGTCAGACTTTTGCCTACTTATTGCTGCAGGCAGGTCTAACAGGTAAAACAACCTTTTTGATCGTCACACTGTGAAAATTTAATCTATGTATATTACATCGCTTAATAGCCCAGTTTTATAATCTTGATAGTTACACCCTCTCTCTCTCTCTCTCTCTCTCTCTCTCTCTCTCTCTCCCTCTCTCCCATTATCATCTCATATAACAGATGATCTACTTAGATAATATTCTACACGTCACGTCTGATTATGGTTATGATATATTCATTTTAGATGCCATTATTTTTTACACGATCGCAACAAGTTTCGAGAATATAAAAATATCAGCCCAAGGTAATTTAAAAAGCCTTGTCCGTCAGCTATCAAAATGCACGAACATTTTGTACAAATGGTAGTACAAAAGAATTTCCTTGAGATGATTATCGACGGTCCTTTTTTTTCTTTCCGTTTTATTGATTGACAAAGGAACAATCGAATAACAGCAGAATCAAGATAGAATAAGGAAAAAAAAAGAAACAAAAAGTGCAAAAACTCCATTTACTGAAATTACCATTCATTTTTGCCACTCGGTTTTAATTTTCTTCTTAGCATTTATATAAGCTTTAAAGTCGTGAAAATTGGGGGATTTACTCAGCAATTTACAAATGTAAATATTGTATTTCAGTGTAAGAAACAAGTAGGTAACAAATGTATTGTCTTGATAACTAAATATGTTATCAAAAGCGGAGGGATTGATCGTTGACAGTCTTTGCTATTGTTTTAAATTCTTGAATACGACATAAAGTGCATGATTATTATTGTTTTGAATTTCTGTGACAGTATCCCTTTTGATATTCGATCTTTTCTTCTTGTTTGCTTTAGCCTTCTTCCAGTCACTAGGAGCATTTGAAGTGATCAGTACAGCGGCTACGTTTACCGGTTGTACAGTAGCCATGATCGCCATGTTACACCAACAACCCCTGGCTATGCTCGTCGCTGGCTTTACCATGTTATTCTCAGGTTCGTATACCGTCTACAATAGGGACTTTTAGATTCTGCACAACGAGAACGTGGACTGCCCTTTTAAGGCAATGTGACGTCCTTTTAAAAGGCACTGGCAGTGACAGTGGCGGATCCAGGGGGGGGGGGCCCGGCCCCCCCCCCTTGAGAAAAAAATCATGCAAAATCACGCGATTTTTACCTTTTTTTTGGGGGGGGGTGCAAATTTTAAAATTTTCGAGGACAAAAAAAAAAAAAATTGTGCTCACTACCCCCCCCCCCCCCCCCCCCCCCCCTGAGCGACTTTTCGGCCGGCGCGATTTTCAAATTTTCGGGAGCAAAAAAAAAAAAAAAGTTGGGCCCCCTCCCCTCAGAAATCCTGGATCCGCGCCTGGGCAGTGACGTCACATTGCCTTAAAAGGGCAGTCCACTTTCTCGTCGTGCAGAATCTAAAAGTCCCTATTACTGCACTCTGTAGTTGGTGTATTCAGAATTCTCTTGCCTGAAAAGGGGGGGGGGGTATTGGGGGATTAACATCTGACATGTTAAATGGAAAAAGAAGTCACTAAAGGTTTAAAGGTGGCTTTTCCTCCAAACTTTCTGGCGGGGGCATACTTTTTTTAGGTGGCACATTTACAATTTGTTTAGTTACATATTGAGGGATGCCAGATTGTTTGGTTAAAGGGGCACACTGCCCCTTGTACCCCTTAAATTCATCACCGTCTTTATTGAGGGTGTAGACACGAGGACATAATTAGGAGTTCAATCATCCCCGTGAGGGATTGATCCACGACCTGGCAAACGGGGACAGGTGCGAAATGTTTGTGAACCATGAGTCCTTGTGACTTGTATTAGTGCAAAGTTGCTTCCAGTTTTTGCCTGTGTTATGGTATAGTAATTATTCAGTAAGATATTGCTTAAGATTAGGCGAGTAATATTAGATTATTGTCTTGATGGTAATCAAACAATGGCATATCTAGTTATCTAGAAAGAGAGTTATGACTCATCTGCTAACCACATCTAATTCGAGCAATGAATCTATGTTGAAGAGCACGCCGTGTTTATAATCGATTAGGATAATATATTTCATGAAATCATTATTCCATGTTGGACCTGAGCTTGTACGGTCGTATTTGCTGATCAAAATATATCTATTTTTAATATAACATCGTATTGACCAAATTAATCGATGATTGTATTACCTAACTGTTAAGAAAGCATGCATAAAGACAGCCTTATGTCCTTCCCGATGGACTGGGTAATGAAAATGAATGCCTTACCAAAAAGGTCACGAGCGAATTGACTTGGTTTCGAACCCGGGACCTCACGGTTACGAGACCACTGCTCTACCACTGAGCCGTCGCACCTCCTCAATTAAATTGAAATCATCTTAACATAACAGTACAAAAATAAAAGGGGTGGTTGGGTGTCGAGGAAAGAGAGATGAAAAACCAATGAGTTAATTACATTTGGAGTTTAAAAGCCTGTCAATTATTGTGATGATAGTCAAATTATTGTGATATCGAGAAATGAAAATATTGACTTTGCATTTCCTCATCCAAATGGTTATTCTTTCATTTTCTTTTCCATCTTATCCTCCTCTTCACCAATCGCCGTCTTCTTTTCCCCCTTCTCTCATCCCTTCAGGTCTCTTTATGCTGGTAGGGCATCTCATGATGCTGACGGCTCACCAAGAGACCGGCGACATGGACAACGTCTCGCTGGTCGGCACTCTCTTCAAGGACGCGACGTCGTCGAACTACGGCTGGTCCTTCGTGGTCGCCTGGATATCCTTCGTCCTGTGCGTCACCGCGGGCATCACCGATTTCCTCGTCTACCGCAACTTCCGAAAGATCACCGACGAGCTACACAACACGCCCTCTCGCGTCAAGTACATGCAAAGACAAACACCCGTCAGCATTGGTCCCACGATATGAGAACTGGACTATTCGTTGTATAGGAATTCATAGCCATACATGGCCGGTATTTTTTATCAGATTTGGTCGACCTTTGTATTTTTGATAAATAGACTGACCTAGATTGATTACCATGGCAATCAGAAAACGTCGTGAATTTTCTAGCTTATGAGCATCTCTGTTATGAACATGTGAAACTTTTTCTATGCGGAGCATAATGAGAAACAGCGCTGTAAAGAGTAATTTTGTGAAATGTCGACACCATTTTTCGTAAAGAGGAGCAGCCTAGCGGACTTCATCAAATTGAATCGAAGACGTCCAACATGTCCAATAGTTGATTTAAGCTCTCACTCTCGGTGGATTATGAACAGGGAGCTCTATATATTTGAGAAACTACAATGTAAAATCCATCGGACCTAGGGTTTAATTATATTTTTGACCATTGACTATAATGAGGACACTTACTAAACAGGACAGACTGTCTGCGTACGGTCTACTCGAGAGAAGGGTTAGCTAAAAAAAAATTAAGTGCCTTATCAGACCGCAAAGGGCAAATTAAAGTGAAGAAACGAATACGGTTGATGGATAAGATAGAGTCATATTTCATTGGACGACCGTATTCTACAAGACTCGTTATCCTGCTTCAATAAAAGATCCACTGTGACAGTAAAGTAGGCATCTTCATAAACTTATTTGATTAGCACTGCACTGATAGCCATCGTTGTCATAACCAGGTGGGTCCAGGATTATATAAACAAAAATATTTAAAAAAAAAAAGGGGGGGGGGGGAGCCACGAATATCTCCAAAAAGCTGTGTACTTAAAGATAAAGACCAGTTATGGTCATGCGATAGCATTGTGAAAGAAACGTTGTGGAATCGATCAGAAAAGGTTGACCATCTAGCATATAAGTATTGGAGTGTACTGCAAGGTTCTGGAATCATCAAAATGATAAGAAATTTGACCCAGTCTTGGTAAAGTTACAAGCACTGTACACAGAAATATGTATATGGGACTACGCGACACGTGCGTTATATCTATCAGGTCCAAATAGATATAATAATTTACCAAATATATCAATTAGTTGGCGGTTTCTCAGAAAAATTTGTATCATCACGTGTTAATAGTCAAAACGTATTCTTTCACATGATTTGTAATAAGAGATTTTATTTCATTTTTGAGAGGGGGGCATTTCCAAAACTGGTCTTTACCTTTAAGGAATGCAAGTGGGTTTTAAGATAGCACGATGTTTTTGCCCCACTGCGCTTGAACCCGCCAGTGGCCATAATATTAGGCTTTGTCTATACAAAATTATTTTTAAATTAAGAGGGAGATGAAGAGACAAGGAGAGCAGAGTAGAGAAGGAGAGAAACATGTTCTGCAAAAAACACCAGCCATTGATACATTTCTCAATAGACTTTAATACAACATGTCCAAATCATTCCTTTGTTGACGATCAATACCAATGTCACACCAGGCGACAGTTACTTCCTGAGGGGGTAGGGGAGCATAAGGGTTACCATGGAAACCCCTCTTCTCGCGTCTCATTAGAAATTAGCAAGGGACATGGTTTTCATCAAGTCTACCTGCACTCCGCGACGGAGAGGGAGCTTGGAATAGAGTAAGGGGTCAAAATAACGGGGTACGAGGAATTACTGGCAAGATAATCATGATAAGGCGCGAAAATAGAAAAAAATAGATAGATAAGTGGCGGGAATGTCAATTTGTTAGCTACACTCCCGATTAAGATCTCGAGACTGTATTTCCACTCCCCGCAGGCCGAAAATGAGGTTTTTAATATAACGTATGCAGTAGGTCTGATAATTCGAATAGATATGATCACAGTAATTTGTTCGAAATGGAAATGTGGGAATTGTTTACAAAATTCTAGTCCCCAAGTTTCGTATTGCTGTATGAAGGATATAATACAGCTCATAATCAAACACGGGTCTGGCATTCAAATTGTAATTGGCCAGTGATTTCAAAATGTCTAAATTAAGATCCATGGGCATTGAAAGAGACAATATTAGATTGTGTCTTAATCTCGTATTTGTGAAGTTCAATTCAATGCAATTCAATTCACTTCAACTTGGTTTACAGTAATAAGCTGAATTGCGCTTGTATATACAACAAATTAAATTTAGCATTAAAAATCGAATTGATAGCTTTATATACATATTGGTAATTTTGTTTGTGTCCAACTAAAATTATTGATTATATTTACAGATAAAATATATTGTTAGAAATCTGGAAAGTTTCATGAAATATTGTCAATAAAATGTAATACCTATGAAAATTAAAGATTGATAATTAAGACCCATCAATTACTGCATAAAATAAAATAATAAAACTGGTACATGTACCAAAAACCGTAAAAAAAATGCATTCGGATATGTTGTAAAAGAGAGAAAATGAACATACATATGGCTAGTTACAAGTTTTCCATGATATATATGAACATTGTTTCTTTTCGAATCAAAATGTCAACAAAAACAACAATAATTGACTGTCTAAAAGCAAAAGAGACCTGTATTATTTTGTGGTAATATAAAAGAATAATAAAATCATTGGAAAATTATAATTGGTTATGCCATAATTATGCAGTTTGACAACAATATGTAAAAAAAAAAAAAAAAAAATCTCTCTTATCCTAAGATGCAGAATTGTGTTTCATCTTGTATCGTAAAGAGGTCTGATGGCTCAGTGGTACATTAGTCGTCTTGAAATCGGCAGGTCATGGGTTCAAATCCACGGCGCCCTGTGTCCTTTAAAATCACTATCATTTCCCCCAAAGCCCTTCTTTCAAGACTCCCCCACCCACACATTCCATTACTGGCCTACCCAACAAGACCCACTGATTAGGGGTACGCCCCCACCCCCGTCATCCATATTATTATTAAAATCAACATATACTTGCGCCATAATATATGTCATAATATGGACTTGTTCAGGCATTAATAATGTAAATAAAAAAAGGAACATTCCCCCAACTGGCGGCAGACACGCCCCTTAGGTCACCGTCACGTGGGTATTTTTATTCATGCGTTATGCGCAGACGACGATGTTTATTATCTTTGTACAATGAACGATACTTTAATAAGGTCGTGTTGTTTTGTATTTCAGTGTTTTCCCGTTGTATAGTAAATATATTTGCGGCCTTTTTTTACATGACTCTCTTCATAGGCAACGAATGTAATATTTTTGCCTTTTCTGGTCCTTCAAAGTACTGCATTCTTGTATATATCTTAAAGTTTAATCAGTGTCTAATTTGGGATATTCGTATATTGTTGCACCGCTGTAAGTATATTACACAATCTATGAGCATCATGTATAGCGCACAGAAAGCTATGATTTATATTTTTGATACCAGTGCATAAGTATATGTCGAACATTTATAACCTGTATTGTCTTCTTCGAACGATGGAGTTGTAGTTGATCCGCCCGTTGAGGGCGTCTTGTTTCCTTTCTTTCTGCAACATTGAATGTTCTGTATATCTATTGATAGTTTGTCCGAAAAAAGAATATTTGGAGTAGATGACTTTGAACCTGATGTAAAATTTGTTTTAGGCCGTTAGTTATATCTAATTCTGCTGATGATGTTTTTATGACATTTAATAATTTCCAGTACATTGTATGTAAAGCGCCATGAGCGTCAGAGCCTAGCGGATACCGGCGCTATATAAATATCCATATTATTATTTATTATTATTATTATGTAGAATGGCTTTCGAATATATTTTAATTACCCAAAGTATCCTTTTACAGCTGGAAAATTATTTATTATCATCAATATCATTTTGTCACGGTAATTATTGGTTAAAGTATTGGACAGTCATAACCCACAATGCATCACCAATTGATGACGCACACGTAATGATGTTTGGTAGAGGAACACAGAATTTGCCCTATGTACGCCTTTACCGAAAGATGGTGGAATTGTAAATATATTACAGCAGTGGTAGCGATATCGGTAAAATACCCTGTAGTATTGGTCTTTCAATTTAATTGCATAAAAAACAATTCTAATGACATACCCTTCAGTGAACAATGTGATGGATTTGTTTAACACGAAGACGTTGTAGCCGATTTTTCAAGACCAAAGATATATTCTGTTTTGTAAATAATTGATTTAACGCAACACCGTGTCATGTCCTAATTGTTAGCGACCAATTTAAAATCAGTTGGTAACTGCCAGTGAATTTGTGTTTGAATAAACAAACTTAACAAAAAGCAGCACAAAATCTTAAATTTCTAAGACCAAAGATGCTTCATTTCATAGAATTTTGGAATAAAGGAAATCGTAGAGGGGTAATTTTCCTCCTTGTCTACAATGGTCTTATTTTGCAAGTAATCTTTCATAATTGAGTTCTTAAATATGGCAAAACAACTATTGTTGTCATCGTGTTATGATAACCTGATATGTGTTTGAAAGATGAGAAATATTTCATTAAAATCACATTAATCATGAAAAAATGTTCATTCGGTGTAAACATTTATGTTTTTTTAATAAAAATCAGATGATGTATTGTTTGACAAACAGCAAATCAATGCGATTTATGATTATAAACCTTGGTAAAAAGAACAAGAAATAAATGCAAATATATAGAGAGATAAGGAAAGGGGTAGAGAAAGATAGATAAATGGGAGAGAGGAAGAGACGATAAGAGAAAGAGAGAGAAAGGAGAGAGAAGAGAGAGAGAGAGAGAGAGAGAGAGAGAGAGAGAGAGAGAGAGAGAGAATGAAACCAAGTAGAAGGGAGGAAACTCGACCAACTGCATGGGTCAACTAATGTTAACCCCGGGATTGATGACAAATCATGAAAATCGGCCCTATCGAAAAATGTTGACCTTCGGCCCAAAATACCCAAACTACATCGATTGGTAGTCTAAATGGGCGTTAATAACTTCCTACATACCCCTAGGAGCCGAAAGATTCAACAAAAGAGAACAAAATTGTAAAATATGAGGGCCTTGAGTAACTGAAGTGGCGTATGTGTACGTAGCCATTGTTTCGAAAGGCCACCTTGCTTTACAAGATTTGACCCTAAGCCCCTTTTCAAAGGCAATTGGGGGGGGGGGGGGGTCATGATCATGGCATGTAGGGACTTTCATTGTACGGAAACTAGCCTATTCGAATATTTTTATTTTTGGGGCTACCCTACATGCTATAACATTGATTCTGACTCCCAATTGGCTTTGAAATGGGCCTACGGCAAAAATGGCAAGGGGTTAGTTTAGACTTTTTGTGAGAAAAGTGAGATTATTCTAATAACCTAATTTCCTAACTATCAATGTCCAAACATGCAATGAGATGGAGTATGACCCGCGTTTCGCTACTGAAGGGGCATAGGGACAAATTTCGTAGAATTTGGAAAAATGCCACTTTTTGCCAAAATGGTTAAGCATTTTGGCTACTAAAAGTGGCGTTTTTTCAAATGTTACGAAAATTGTCCCTATGCGCCTGCAGAAGCGAAACGAGGGTCATACTCAAAGGGACGTTTATTGTGAGGAAATTAACCAATTAGAATATTTTCACTTTTCTCACAAAAAGTCTTAACTAACCCCTTGCCATTTTGTCCCAAAAGTGGTGTTTTTCAAATGTTCACAGCATTTTCCCGTATGCCCCTTTCGATGCTAATTGGGAGTCAGGGTCTATGTTATGGCATGTAGTGACACTCATTGTGAGAAAACTAGCCATAAGTATATACAGTGTGAGTCAAATGTCTTCTGTCAGTCATCAATGACTTGAGAAAGTGGCATGTAACTTTGCCAAAGTTGACCACCTGTTACAATACCACAAACAATAGCAACATAATAAGCTGCTATGTCAGACATGTCAGACTAAACTAATATTCTAGAATAGACAATGGTATGTAATTTCCCCCAGCTTAGCACACGTTCATAATAGAATTGCATGCGTCCATACATAATTATGTACAATACATCACCATTGCCTTTGTCTTCCAGGTGATGCTACAGCATGTCTGACATCATAGCAACTTGTATGTTGCTATTGTATTACGTATTGTAACAGGTGGTCGACTTCGGCAAAGATACATACCACTTTCTCAAGTTAGCTCATTGATGACTGACAGATGATGGCACAAGGGGAATGAGATCTGGATGTTTTTGGGGTGGAGCTTAGCAAGTTTGAAAAACAAATATTTAAAGAAATATTTAAAAATCTATGACACAAATTCAGAAGTTTACATATCATAATATGAGATGTATGCAGGACTGCACACCAACAGGAATACACTCGTATTTCGATGTCATGGGCCCTTTAATCCCAGCATATCACATACTGTAGGCATCAAACCACAAAAAATGATTTGGGATAAAACACTCTTTGATAAGATGTATAATAATTTACTGTTCATAGATAATTTTTTTAATAATTGGAAATTTTTCGGGTGTAAACTTTTTTTGACTCACACGGTATATATATAGGCAATTAGGGTCGCGCTAAGTTGCATTTTTGCGTCCTAGACTCACCAAAAAACCAAATCTCACGCACAAAATTCCCAGGTTGGTTTCCGGAAGCTGGAGAAGGATCTTTCCCATTCATATTCGCATCGTACACTGATTATAATTACAATGATTTACACATCAATCCTATTTTTCCATATAAACTATGTGCATGAGACTAATTTTGTTCGGTATAATTTGCATCTAAGCGCAGATTAAAAACGAAAAAAGAAAATCAAAATGTTGACTGACAGTTTGTCTTATGCGCACCTGTACAACTGTATGGAGTGTTTTTAGCCAGATTCTGGCAATAAAAGTAGGTAATTTTTTGAACAAATTAGGCTTTTACGATCGCTTTTACGGAACTGGTTTTATGAATCTACAAACTGCCAAATTTGGAAGCTTTGCCGACATGCTTGACGATTCCTTCGTGTTTTTACTTCTCGCATTTGCTGGCATCCGAAATTTTGTTTTGTTTTAAATATTTTATTTCCTTCCTCATGAATTCACATTACAAGATATTATCACAATAAGTCATATAGAACAAGATATTCGATACAAGACACTTCATGAATTACATCAATAAAATTATATATGATTGCACATTTTTCTTCTTTCATATAACAGTTTATAATCAGAATAACAACAGAGGGAGGTATGAAGTTACATAGTCCCATCCAATCACACACTCGCACACCTTCAACTCGCACCGAACAAATTAATGACACCCCACCCCCTTCCCGCTCTCGAGCACACCCACACCAACACACACACTGCATGCAACCTGTTCCGGTTTGTCCACCTGTACTAGAGAGAGAATTAAAAAATATTTAAAAAATACCCACATCCATTAAATTAAAAATGCATCGATTAGTTCCCATTTCTGTAAGTGCATCCACAGTTCTCCCTTTTTAAAGGATGTTTTTGTATTCTCGTCTCTGTAATCTTCCTGTAAAGTTCCTTGTTTTCTAGAAATAAAAGTGATATATTTAACTAGAAATATGATACAATTTATTACTAATATTCCAGCAGTATTGCCGGATATTCCCATAAAAATGGGTTTCCAATCATCACTGTGAAACTATAATAAATGTTTAGAATGTTTAGCGCCATCTCCGACCATCCAACTGTACAAGACTTTGGCAAAATTAATTTGACTCTAACTTGACAATTTTTTTTGTCATGTGGGGGGGGGGGGGGGGGGAAGTAACAGAAATAGCATTCAAGTTTGAAATGGGCATAATATTTGCTCTACGGTCGCTTGAAAAAATGATATCGAATTTTTATTGGGCGATCACTTTTAGGACGATATAAACCTCAATCCGATTGTCTGTCAAAGGTCGGTGGGAATTTCCAGTACCTAAAAATAGACTGCCAAACTAGATACATACAATTACTTAATGCAACACTAGCGTAAAAGCAAAAAGCGTTTACATATTTTGCTGATTTCATATAACGCCTATAGGCCGATACGTACAGCAGTTGAGGGAAAAGAGGTGAGTGAATTAAAATGTCGGTTAACACCCCCTGGCATCATCATCAATATATGACACTTGGTTTCAGATTAATGAGGAAATAATGTAATGATTATTTGACAAAGTGCTAAAATGCGAATGGTAAACCATTTCTGAGACTTATGATTTTTGTTTCATTTTCAACGGCTTGCCTCAAACCATACTTGGGCTGCAACTGATACGATGTATTATGACTTGTATAATTCAGATTTTCACAAAATGTCTACTAGTATAACTAGTTGCAATATAATCATGTAGAGATGTTTTGGACTATTCTAGTGTATAGGTTACTTGATTGTGAATCACATGGTTCGCAGTTCGAGTTCCACCACTGCACTTATGTCCTTTGCCAAGACAGTACTCAGCATTATTTTGTCACTATCCACCCAACGCTGGTGTATAGTAAATAGGTACCCGGTTGGAAGAAAGGCGTGAAATAAAATAATGCTTGTATGAGCACATTATCATGGAAGGTTGGCTAAAGCCAGAGTATGACTGCATGGTCCTCAGGGAGATCAGTATACATACTAATGAGTCTTTCTGGGTAAAGAAAGCATCATTATTATTATAATGATTATTGTTATTTTTGTTGATATAATAATTATCATTGTCATTAATCATTATTAATTTTGTCATTATTATTCTTTTTCTTTTTCATTGTTATCGTTATTATTAATATCAATATCATTATTATCATAACATTCATTATTACTATTATTATCATTATTATCATAACATTCGTTATTACTATTATTATCATTATTATCATAATTATTGATATCATTATTATTATTATTATTATTATTATTATTATTATTATTATTATTATTATTATTATTATTATTATTTCCCCATTATAATGTACAGTGACCGAAGAACGACAACGGAAACATTTTTGAAATAATTTCATTAATCATTATTACATTCCATTGATGAATAACATGCATTACTTTTATCAAGATACAACATATTATACAAAATACCAAGCTGTGAGAAGGTATCGTGGAAATTATTGATCTGAGGAGGGACTGGCATAGTAGGCCCAAATATTGCCAGTTCCTCCGAAGATATATAACTTCCACTATACTTTCGAACTAAATGCTTGGTGTATTTTATATATCTTCTTTACAACTAATTAAAAACAAATACCCGATCCGAACCGATTAGGTATACGAGCTGATCTGGATCGAACGCTATATAGCGTGGGCTAAAGTATCGGTGACTTGCGTCGATACTGCATGCATGTGGCAAGGTTATGAGCAGTCTGCATATAACGACTCGCTCAGCGGGTCGTCTGTGCGTTCGGATTTGACACAAATTTTGTCAATGAACAGTGAGCAGTTCTGCACAGGAAAAAAAATAATGAAAAATATTCGGAGCTCTGGCAGATATTTATTTTCCTATTGAAATGATATTTTATCAAGTGAGCACCAATTGACCAATCATGTATTTAGAATACTCATAAATATTTATAGAAGGAATCAGGCGCGTACGCAGGATTTTGTCAAGGGGGGGGGGGGGGGGGGGGTTTAACATTTATAAATCTGGCCGAAAATTTCGCAACGACTCAGGCAGCCGCTGAATAAGCGGGGGGGGGGGGGGGGGGGGGGGGGGGGGGGGGGAGGACGCTTTTTTTTTTTTTTGGTATCGAAATTTGAAAATTTGACATTTTGCTCCGTTGGGGGGGGGGGGTAAGTCATCTTTTGAGAATGGGAATATTTTTTTATTTTTTTTTATTTTTTTAATAAAAATAATAATAAATAAAAAAAAAAAATCCAAAAGGAGGGGGGGGGGGGGTTAGGGAAATTTAGGGGGGGGGGGGGTTTACACACAAAAAATACCAAAGGGGGGGTTTAACCCCCAAACCCCCCCCCCCCCACCCCCTGTGTACGCGCCTGGAAGGAATATAAAACGAAATGTTATATTATATAAACTGTTGTGCGCGCTATATTCTGTATGGGAATGGTGTGCGGAAAATGAAAAAAAAAACCAATCTTTTTAAAATCAGATGAACCAAAGCTACACTCACCATAAATATTTTCCTTTGTCTTATCTCGTATTCCTGTAGAATTCGAATCATGGCTGATGCATTTAAGAATGTCATTGTTCAGAGTCTGGAGTGTCCTGTATGTCTGAATACCTTCACCGATCCCAAGATCCTATCTTGTTCTCACACCTACTGCAAGACCTGTCTGGATAACCTTTTGGAACTCTATGCTAACGACCAGATGCTCCGATGTCCTGTCTGCAGAGCTGAAACCCAGGTCAAAAACCAAGATGTCAGCAAATTGCCGACCAATTTAGCTTTGAAGTCTCTCATAGAGGACGTAAAGAAGCAATATCAGTTTTGCACGAACTGTAAATCCGAGGACCAACCCCAAGCTGTTGTCTACTGTCAAGACTGTGGCATGTATCTCTGTATCACTTGCCACAACAAACACTCTCAGTGGCAAAACTTCATCAGTCATGAGGTCTTAGCCATGAGTGAAATCCTATCAGGGAAGGTGTCAGTACGTAGGTACCGTAAATGCAGGAAACACCCAAAAGAGGATGAGGAGTGCTTCTGTTCCGACTGCAGGAGATTTGCCTGCTTCAGGTGTGTTGTCATGGAGCATACAAAGGAAGGACATGGGGTCATCGAGGCAGCTGTCTATGAAAGCAGCCATATAAAGAGGATCGAGGACCTCAAATCCAAGGCGGACAAGAAACGCTCCTGCTTTCAGAAATACGTTGATTTCATTGATGAACAGAAGGAGCGTGTGAGCAATGTTCAGAAGCGGTGTACAGACGATATCAAAAAAGCATGTGATGATTTAGTCCGGCAGGTGACAGAGAAGAAAGAAATCCTCATTGGCGAAGTCAAGGGTAGGTCCGAAGGAGTAGAGAAAGAACTGGACGAAATGAAGAAATCGGCTGAGGAGCACATCACACACTTGACCACCATAGCTGACCTGGTAACCAATAGGACAAAGGTACCGTTAGATATGGATGCTTTGGCTGCACACGACACTCTATGTCAAGACCTCAAAGAGGCTTTGAAACAAAAAGATCCTGACTACAAGCAGCCGAGGGAATCGAGCAAGAAAGGAAAAAGTGTCAGTTTTAAGAGATACGTTGAAATGGACGAGCTAGGTCTTGGTAAGATCGTAAATGCAGTTGCAAAGAACATCGCTTTGCCTTCTAAGGGTAGCATGAATGCCTTGGTTAGTACACCAGACGGTAGGATGGCAGTGGGGTGTAACAAAGGTAACATGGAAATCTTCTCTGCTGATGGTCAGCACCAGCAGAAAGTTTTCAAGAAAGTTAAGATTCTTGGAGTAGGGTTCCTCTCTGATGATCGGTATGTTATACTTGCTCACTCATCGCTTAACAATATCGCACTGTACTCACTAGAGTACACAAAGTTGAATGTGTTTTTTGACACTCTGAGACACGATGAAGGTGGATTTGCTAGCCTAACTGTAGACAGTGATGATCAGATTTATGTTAGCTACAGGAAAGCCAAGAAGATCCAGGTATTCTCACCAGCAGGTGGGAAGGCGATCAGGGAGATACCATGTAATGGGAATGAGCCTCAGCAGATTAGTAGTTATAATGATTACCTGATCATTGAATCTGGTGATGCAATACGATGATTGACAAACAAGGTGTTGTAAAATATGAATTAACGAAATTAGGTCATAACCTACACGCTGCTGTTTCTCAAGGGAATACAATCCTGATAGCCACGTTCAATCACGATGTAGGTTTGGTCAGCATTGATGAGTACACTAACGAGCTGAAGCATGTCCAGAACCTCGTCATTGATTACAAGATTGAGAAGCCTGAGAGAAATTGGTACAACCTCAAGCAGTACCGATCAGGAGAGATCGCTTTCTGTACTGCTGATAGACTCTATATATTCCACTGAAGAATTCTTAATTACACTGTATGATACCACTGTCTTCAGGCCTGCTAAACAAATTAGAATAAATTCATACTTCGTTGCAAAATGGACCCATCCCCGCCCCCTATTTCAAGAGCCTCTAACAGGTCTGGTTTTTCTGTGACTTCATAAATTGTATATAACATCCCGTGGAATCTCTTATATCTGAAACTAGGTAAAATGGAGTTCTGGTGACCGTTTCAGAAATGGCATTTCTAGATCATGTTAATCAATTTGAATGATTGAACCTTTATAGATTATAAAAAAGTAACGTTTCTTTTAATATACTTCTGATGTGTTTATCTTTCAAGATTTTGTTGTCGATGATAACTCTACATGATTGTGAATCTCACTTTTTTGGTAGCTGTTGTAAATATATATATGATGTAGACTCAATTTAATTGTGGAGTAAACAATTATTTTACAGTAGGAGATAATCATCCTAATTATCTTGGAAACTATGTGATCGTATTACCGTATAATATTTTCTCTCAAGTATACTTTAAAGGGACTTGGTAACATTGTAAAGATGAGAGAAAATGGTGCTAAGGTAGTAACTTTAATGCTAGATGTACAATTGTAGATAATCTGAAAGTTTGAGTGAAAACAGACCATTATAAATGATAAAAATTGGCGAAAACTGATCTGATCTTCCAGCTATATTATTTCAATTTAATTACATTTTATGTGAATCGTCACAAAGCAATGAAAAGCCTGTCTTTTGTCTTATTTTCAGGGAAAAACGGTTGGGAAAATTAAAAAATGTTCGGAGAATTTACTGTTAATCACTGTTAGAGGGTGTTGCACAGTGACGCCTTCCTAGAAAACCATTAATATCTTTATGGTTTGAGAATTTGTTCAGGATTTGTTGCATGTTAGAGGGTAAGTACAGAAGAAGGAAGATCATAATAAGTAACATTTCATATCAAAATTATTACGCAATTTTTTAATCAACCTTCAACAATGTTACCGAGTTACTTTAATATTCTTGATCATAATTATATATATGAAAATGTTTTCTAAACAGTTTATAAAAATGTTCTTATGTTTCTTTTTATCATCGCAATTTATGTTTAATCCAAAAAATCAATGTACAATGTTTCCAGCTTTGATTTGTACAATATGTATTTGATTTGAGAGAAAATAATGAAAAATATGCTGTTCACCCCAGATGGATGATAAAAATAATAATGAAAATTGGCCCGACAGGAAATGTGTGATTTTCGACCAAATATAATGAACTTTCTGTTAAAGTTTTTGTCGAAAGGTGATCTTTCTTTGCAAATTTCCATGAAATTTGTCCTCGACCAGCTGGGATTAAGTTTACCAAAGAGTAATGAAATAATGTGTTCGGCCTCAAATGCTGAATTATAACCCCTTTCAGTGTTTGTCGATAATTTTTTTTTCTTCAAAATATTTGATTCCGGATCGATTAAAAAACATGAAAATCGGCCAGATGGAAATTCTCGATTTTCGGTCAAAAGTGTTTTTGTTTTGTTTTTTGGGAGGGAGGGGGGGGGGGGATCTCAAAATTGTGTTTTTCAATTTTTTATGACATTGATCCCGCCTTTTTTTGACCACTTGGGTTCGAAATTCCATGAACTTTTCCCTAAACTCATTTTTTTTTTTACCAACATGGGTTGTGTTTAGCCAGGGTTGATGACCAAACATGAAAATCTAATTGGCAGAATTGCATTTTTTCACAATCGAACAGTTTATATCCGGGCAAGAGAAATCTGCCCCGCCGGTATACCTGTCTATGCATGTACAAAACTCAGCCTCGTCGAAATTTTAGAAACATTTCTGGCCCACCTGACAAAACGAATAGGAGCCCCTGGTCTATTAGGGTCAGGCGATCTAAACTCTTTAGGTTGGTATCTAATATTTTGTTGTGTATTAGGTAGGGAGCGCGAATAAGATCTTAACATCCAAGTATATTAGGATTTGCTTACGGTAATCAGACGATTCTAAAATCTTGGGAATGAAATGACGATTGATTTTTTTGTCCACACTGGAAGAAAACTCTTTGTAAATCATAGACGAGAAAGTATCACCAACCTGCCGGTTAGTTCGAAACCTTAGTTTATGAATAAAAGACATATTCTTTAACTGTATCTCTGTTTTTTCTGAGCAGTTATGACAAAAAGAAATGGAGAAATAGAAACGGGAGAGAAAGAGAAAGGTGGGGAGAGAGAGAGAAGGGAAGAGAGAGAGAGAGAGAGAGAGTTAAATAAAACGAAGAAGAAGGGAGGAAACTCGACCAACAGACTGCATGGGTCATGTTAACTCCAGGATTGATGACAAATCATAAAAATCGGCCCTATCAAAAAATGCTTTAAGGAGAAAAAAACCCAAACTACATCGATTGGTGGTCTAAATGTGCGTTAATATTTCCTACATACCCCTAGGAGCCACATGAAAGAATCACCAAAAGAGAGAAGAATCGTAAAATATGAGGGCCTTGAGTAGCTGAATTGGTGTATGTGTACGTAGTCAATGTTTCGAAAGGCCACTTTGTCTCAAAAGTGGCCTTTTTCGAATTTTTAAAAGATTTGCCCCTAAGCCCTTTTCAAAGGCAATTGGGGGTCAGGATCCATGTAATGGCATGTAGGGACTTTCATTGTACGGAAACTAGCCTATTCAAATATTTTCATTTTTTTGGGCTACCCTACATGTTATAACATTGATCCTGACTCCCAAATGGGCTTACGGTAAAATGGCGAGGGGTTAGTTTAGACTTTTTGTGAGAAAAGTGAAACATTTCTAATAGCCTATAATTTCCTAACTATCAATGTCCAAAATATGCCATGAGATGGAGTATGACCCCCGTTTCGCTTCTGAAGGGGCATAGGGACAAATTTCGTAGAATTTGGAAAAATGCCACTTTTTGCCAAAATGGCAAGGGATTAGTAAGCATTTTGGCTAAGAGTAGCGTTTTTTCAAATGTTACGAAATTTGTCCCTATATGCCCCTGCAGAAGCGAAACAAGAATCATACTCCAAGGGACGTTTATTGTGAGGAAATTAACCTATTAGAATATTTTCACTTTTCTCACAAAAAGTCTTAACTAACTCTTGCCATTTTGTCCCAAAAGTGGTGTTTTTAAAATATTCACAACATTTTCCCGTGTGCCCCTTTCGATGCCAATTGGGAGTCAGAATCCATGTTATGGCATGTAGGGACATTCATTGTGAGGAAACTAGCCATATATACAGTGTGAGTCAAATTTCATCTGTCAGTCATCAATGAGCTAACCTGAGAAAGTGGCATGTAACTTTGCCAAATTTGACCACCTGTTACAATACCACAAACAATAGCTGTTATGTCAGACATGTCAGACTAAACTAATATTCTAGAATAGACAATGGTATGTAATTTCCCCCAGCTTAGCACACGTTCATAAAAGAATTGCATGCTTCCATACAACATCATCATTGCCTTTGTCTTCCTGGTAATGCTACAGCATGTCTGACATAGCAACTTGTATGTTGCTATTGTATTTCTTATTGTAACAGGTGGTCGACTTCGGCAAAGATACATACCACTTTCTCAAGTTAGCTCATTGATGACTGACAGATGATGTCACAAGGGGAATGAGATCTGGAGGTTTTTGGGGTGGGGCTTAGCAAGTTTGAAAAACAAATATTTAAAAAAATATTTAAAAATCTATGAAACAAATTCAGAAGTTTACATATCAAAATGTGAGATGTATGCAGGACTGCACACCAACAGGAATACACTCGTCTTTCGATGTCATTGGCCCTTTAATCCCAGCATATCACATATAGGCATCAAACCACACACAAATGATACCAAATGATTTGGGATAAAACACTCTTTCATAAGATTTATAATAATTTACTGTTCATAGATAATTTTTTTAATAATTGGTAATTTCCTGGGTGTAAACTTTTTTTTACTCACACGGTATATACATAATTATAGGCAAGGGTCGCGTTAAGTTGCGTTTTTTGCGTCCTGGACTCACCCAAAAACCAAATCTCACGCACAAAATTCCCAGGTTGGTTTCCGGAAGCTGGAGAAGGATCTTTCCCATTCATATTCGCATCGTACACTGATTATAACTTCAATGATTTACGCATCTATCCTATTTTTCCATTTTAACTATGTGCATGAGACTACTTTCGTTCGGTATATTATCAGAGCAGATTGAAAACGGAAAAAAGAAAATCAAAATGTTGACTGACAGTTTGTCTTATGCGCACCTGTACAACTGTATGGAGTGTTTTAAGCCAGATTCTGGCAATAAAAGTGGGTAATTTTCTGAACAAATTAGGCTTTTACAATCGCTTTTACGGAACTGATTTTATGAATCAACAAACTGCCAATTCGGAAACTTTGCCGACATGCTTGACGATTCCTCCGTGTTTTTACTTCTCGCATTCCCTAGCATCCGAAACTCTTTTTGTTTTAAATGGTATTTGATTTCCTTCTTCATGAATTCACATTACAAGATATTATCACAATAAGTATAGAACAAGATCTTCGATACAAGACACTTCATGAATTACATCAATCAAATTATGCATGATTGTACATTTTTTCTTTCATATAACAGTTTATAATCAGAATAACAATACAGGAAGGTATGAAGTTACATAGTCCCACCCATTCACACACTCGCACACCTTCAATTCGCACCGAACAAATTAATGACACCCCCCCCCCCCCGCCCCCCCCCTCTAGCACACCCACACCACACCCCCTTTCACACCAACACACACACCGCATGCAACCTGTTCCGGTTTGTCCACCTGTACAAGAGAGAGAGAATTAAAAAAATATTTAAAAAATACCCACATCCATTAAATTAAAAATGCATCGATTTGTTCCCATTACTGTAAGCGCATCCCAAGTTTTCCCTTTTTGAAGTCTGTTTTGTATTCCTAGTCTCTGTAATCTTTCAGCATATGTACTACTTTCTGTACAGATGGCAGAGTTCCTTGTTTTCTAGAAATAAAAAATGATATATTTTACTAGAAATATGATACAATGTATTACAAATATTCTAGCAGTATTGCTGGATATGCCCATAAAAATGGGTTTCCAATCATCACTGTGAAACTACTGTATAATAAATGTTTAGAATGTTTAGCGCCACGACAATCCAAATGTACAAGCCTTTGGCAAAATTAATTTGACTCTAACTTGACAATGGTTTTTGTCATGGGGGGGGGGGGGGGGTAACAGAAATAGCATTCAAGTTTGACATGGGCATAATATTTGCTCTACAGACGCTTGACAAAATGAGATCGAATTCTTCTTCTTATCGAGTCACTCACAAGTCCCGTCCAGTGCTCCACACAGGCTTTGGCACGGCAATTAACGGCTTCCAGGTCATCTTGGGTGCATGGCTCTGGCAGGAGTGGGCAGACTAGCAGTATTCACATGCCGTTTGTTCGTCTCCTAGACCCCACCTCTTCATTAGGACTCTGCATCGACCGTAGCCAGTTCTTAGGCGGTTGAGGCTAAGCCAGGTAGGCCAAGTCTCACTGGAGCCGGTTGCGAGGGA